GCATCATAAAAATGTCCAACTTTCACTCTGGCTGGTGTGGCTCAGTGAATTGAGCACTGGCCTGTGAATCAAAAGGTTGCCAGTTTGATTCCCAATCAGGGCACATGGCTGGGTTGCTGACTAGGTCCCCAGTAGGTGGCACTTGAGAAGCAATCACACATTGATGTTTCTCTCCTCCTTCTTTCTCCCTCCCTCCCCTCTCTCTAAAAATAAATAAGTTAAGAAAGTCTTTTAAAAAAGTGTCCCACTCCCATAGATCAAACTACATATTTAGTAGATCAAACCAAAATATTCAAAACTATAATTTTCGCAAGGGAAAGTGGTGGGGGGTAGGCAGAGACAAATGTATTTGAAAAAATAAATAAATTAATTTAAAAAAAAACAACCAAAAAACAAAACTATAATTTTCTCACTTTAACTCTGAAGTTAGTTTTCACAGCCACAATTCTGTTCTCACTCATTCTTAATCTTTTGAAAGCGATTTGAAAAGCAGCATGTTATTGTTTATATGCTTTTGTCATTTAGAACGAGGAAATTAATACTTGAGTACATACTATGTACTAGACTGTAATCTAGGCTCCTCCACATATTTATGACAGTTTATTCTCCTCAGAACCCGTGAAGCAGGAGTGATTTTCCAGAAAAACAAAACAACAAAACACCTGAGGCTCAGAAATGAACTCCTAAATGGAAAAGTCCACTAAAAAGCCTTGGTCCAACTGTAAGACCCTTACTCTTTTTATTCATAATGCCAGGCTGCTCTATTTAAAATGCCAAAAGCATGAAATTATTTTAAAAATAAAAATAAGTGAAAATGAATTTCATCCTTAAGAATTCTTTTTAAAATGCTACAAGAACTATGGGAATAACTGAAGGTACCCTTGGGTGGCACAAAACCACAGTTGTGAACTGCTACCTAAGCTTTAGGCACCACTGTAATTTTAGCTCGCCTTACTTTTTATTTGGCCACAAAGAAATCCAGCTTCCTGGAGCCAGGTTCCATTTGGATTGTAGCTTTCTGGCTCCCGATGTGGGTTTGTGGTTTTCAACTGCCTGCGCTTTAAATAGAAAGGACTGGAAGGTCTTAGTGGAATAGAGCGGGGGGTGGGGGGGGACCCCCCCGCAGGGGAGGGGGAGGGGCGGGGGCGTGGCGTGCGGAAAGCACTACTGGGCATCCTGTAGTTCAAAACTTTGACCAGCAGGTGTCTCTGCAGGCAAGGGAGAAGGTTCCTTTTGACCGAGGTGGAAGATGGATTTTCTAGTTGAATTGAGGAAAATTGTGACAGTACTGAAACAAAGCTACGTGCAGAAATTAATCCCAATTGTACAAATTTTTCTTAGCCAAAAGCTAGTAGAAAACCTCAGCAAACCCCAATCTTAATGCAAGGAAGCTCCTGTAAAGCAGTCTCTTTGCCGTCTTCCAAAACATGGGACGCTGTTTGAAGATGAGCCCTTCAAACTGAGAGGCTGTTCCCAAGGCAGGTTTAGCAGAGGTGATGGGTCTTTAGCCAGGAGAGATGTGAGAATGAAGGGAAAAGAGGAAATTAACGGTTCTGTAGGTTCTGAACCGGGGAATGAAGAACTTCCATTTGAGGTGGACGTCGAAGTGTGCCTTTATTTTTTATGGAGTTATAAATTCTAGAATTTTATATACACTTGTATATTCAAGCAAAATAAAAGGATCCAAATATGCCAAAATATCAATTAATATTTGTTGAGTATCAGACTTTTCATTTAGGAGAAAGAGAGTATAAGAAAAAAATTTTTTTGTTCGTGTAAATATTTGGGAGTCGATCACAGGGTAACTGAGTATATGTTACCTTAGGAGCATATACTTTTGTGAAGTAAAGTTTCCCTGGATGAATTTTTTTGTCTTCTGAATGTGTTTTCTCATTGATTTTCATTATAAAACCAGAGGTATATTTGCCCAGGGAAAACATTGATCCCAAATGATAATATAGTCACATCTAAGAATGCAGAAAATCTTTCAGAAAAACATACTTAAAGATGTTTTGGATGATTTAAAGGGTAATGATGTCCTAGAAAATGTGAAAAGCAGTAAGGGAAATTTTTGTTTTGTGTAATAGCCTGAAAGATTCCATTAAAAAGAAAAATGTGGGCAAACTGAACAGAGAATCTTTGACTAAAGCTTAGTTAGCTTCTTTTTAGCCCCCTCCTCAAGATATTTTATAGCAGGAGACTATGTACTTATTTTGACTGCTCTGGCCTGTTTCTGGTTACTGAGGGGAAGTATTTGGATATGACGAGGTTGGTCTGGGATAGGAGGAAGAAAGGCAACAGCCACACAGCTGAGCTGGTAATGCCAAATGCAGTACCAAGAAAGAAAAAACACATTAAGCTCACCTGGAGAACCAGGGCACATTGAGTGTTCGGACAAAGTCTGTGTGATGGCAGAATTTATAACTGGCTAATGACTTCCTTGTTTGGGAATAAGTGGCATGTAAACATTCTATGATGTTGCCTTTTGGCATACAGGATTGCTGAGTATGCTTCTGTATCAACTGAATGTTCCTATAATGTTAGCTTGGTCCTGCTCTGTCCTGCTCTCAAGAACTCTCAAAGCCTTTTATTTCCTTGTGTCTAAACTGAGCTCAGTTGCTCTGGGCTTCTGGAGGAACAACTTTTCCTATTAGCTCCTACTTTGAGAGGGTTCCAGTGAGGAAAGATCTCAGGCTCCAGAGGTAAGTAAGCTTTGTTTGCATACTAGTTCTACCACTTTCTAGTTCTAGTTCTAATTTGGCCAATTATCTTAATCCCTCTGTGCCTCATTTTCCTTATCTGCAAAATGGGGATAATGACAGAATTTGTCTCATAGGGTTGAGGATTGAGTTCATGTCTGTAAACTGCTTAGCATGAAGCCGGGCAAATTGTTATTATTGACTTTGAGTTCCTCCCTAAACCCGAGTCCTTGGTACTCAATAAATCCTTATCAAATATATACATCTACACTGTTTTCCTTATTCTCTGATAGTTTTTGTTCTTCAATGCCCTCCTCAATTTTCTATAATCTTCTCACCAAAGAGAACTCTTCAGGGAGATCTCCAGAATGTCTTTGTCCTAGTCTCAATAGGACATTCCATCTACTGGCCTCAATACATATAGGCAGGGAGCATAAACGATATAACACACAACATACTCGTTCTGGTCATTATTAGCGGCAAGTGTGATGTGCCTCTTCTCTTTGAAGGTTAGACCACTGCTACATTTTCTAGTTTCTCTCTAGAGGCTTTTTTGTTTTCGACACTTTCCAGAGAGCAGGAGAAGTTGTCGTGCTTGATGTTCCAATAATCTCTATGAGTGGATGAGAAGCTATAAAGTCAGTATGAGAATGGTGTCAGTGGTGCTCCTGCATCCAGAGTAAAAGATATTTTTCCTTGCCTTGGGGCCCAGAACCAAAGTTAGTGTACAGTCCCTGCTAAAGGCAGGTGAATGGGGTCATGAATGGTAAGAGAAGCTGGCCACATCATTTATCGGGGATTGATTAATCTCAACCAATAATAGGGTTTAACTAATGCAAGAAACTGAGGTTTACTTCATCCTTATCCTTATTTGCTAGTAAAGGAGCCAATTAGTGTTAATTGTGTTGGCAATTTGGAACAGCAACCAGGGAATTGATCCAAGACAATTGCATAATGACCTCTTTGTCCCATTCTAGTCCCAGCCATTACTCATAGTCAGATGGAATCAGAGCGCTTGTAAATATCTTGTGGTCAGAGAGAGTAAATATGCACTCTCCTTCTCACACATTTACAGTGACTTGGTTGTCAGTTTTTAATATTGTACATGCAGTGACCTGATGATACAGTCGTGACAAGTGTGGATGGACCAGGACTGGACTGAAGGGATACATTTTAGCACAGAAATGTTCACAATCTTTCCTCTTCCCCCCAACCCCTATCTTGTTACCAATTCCCACCCAAAGCAGCTAATTTACTTAATAAACGGAAGGGGAGAAAGAGATGGGGGAAACTTGGGAGCGAGTGAGGGGCTCTGGAGGGTGTGGAATGTCAGGTAACAGAGAAGCGTAAAATAAAGATAAATTTGATCGCGTAAAATAAAGATAAATTTGATCATCTTCAATGTCCTTGAAGAGTCTCTAGTAAGGATGGAATTTTTATTTTATTATTTATTTTGCCTAACAGACCGTACATCTTTAACTGTGATGTGGCTCACCGGACAATGTGCACCACTGCTCCCTCAGGGTTACACAAGTGACAGAAATAGGACAATCACGTAGTTACAGAATTGTTCAGAGACGAGGTGGGAGGAAGGAAAATGACGTATCTTCTCTGGCCCTCACCCACCCAATAACTGGTATCTGTGTTTCTCGTTTCCCCGCCCGCGAACACGCAAATCCTAGTTTCTCCACTCCCCTATTTTGGTGACAATTAAGTTGGTTGTACCGGGTGAGTTGACTTTTGTAAGAGGAAGGAATTTTACTGAAGAATTCTGCTGCCTCGTTACCAACTTTTATAGTTGCTTCAATACTGTAGCTATTCCTGCCTTGGGGCCTCAAGGGCTAAAGTGGAACAAGGGCTGGTATTTTTGATGAGGCAATATTTTGTTTTAAGGGAAGCTGGGGTTTGCTGAACTGGTATAGAGGTCACACTAGGGATCACTTTCGCGATTCCAGAGATGCTGGCTTTGGGTCGGGCTTAAAGCACGTCCGACTGGGAAACGCTGCAGCGGTTTGGAACTAACTGGCACACTTGCGGTGCCCGGACTAATCCCCGGAGGAGGGCACTCAGGAGCCAGCGCCAGAGGAACTGGGTCCAAGCGGGAAGGTCGAGCTAGCGGGTGAGGTCACGGTTGCCATGGCTCTGGGCAGTGACGCGCGTCGGCACGTGACGAGCGGTTGCCATGACGCTGGGCCCCGGCGGCGCGGGCGCTGCGGCCCAGGCGGTGCGGGCGCTCCGCCCCCGGAGTGACGTCATCGCCCCCTCCTCCCGCCCCCGCCCTCTCCCCCTCCTCCCCGCCGGCTCCCCGCGGTCCCGGAGGTTTCACTGCACAACAAGATGGCGGCGGCGGCGGCGAGCGGAGCTGGCGGGGCTGCTGGGGCCGGAGCGGGAGGAGCCGGGCCGGCGGGCCGCCTGCTGCCTCTTCCCGCCCCGGGACCCCCGGCTGCCCCCGCTGCTGTGGCCCCGGCGGCTAGCTCGCCGCGTCCCCCAGCTCCGGCCTCCCGCGGGCCGGTGCCTGCCCGCATCGGCTACTACGAGATCGACCGCACCATCGGCAAGGGCAACTTCGCCGTGGTCAAGCGGGCCACGCACCTCGTCACCAAGGCCAAGGTAGTGGCGCGGAGAGACAGGGCGGCTGCGGGGTTGCGCAATCGGGGACCGAGCAGCCCGGGTCCGCGGTCCAACTGTAGCGGGGGCAGGAAGGACCCGCGACACCGAGGCTGAGGGGTCGGCGCAGCGAGCGGAGCTAGGGACATTGGAGAGCCTTGGGGACGGGGAGAACGGTTACGGGGGTTGTCGGGGGAAGTGAGGAGACGGTGAGAAGGTAGGAGACACCGAGGGACCCGAGAGAGGGAAACTCCACGGCGAGGAGGCGCGAGGGGTCGGGCATTATGCACCGGGACCTGGGGAACTGAGGAGCTGGGAATGGGGAAGGGGGTTCCCAGCGCTGTACCAAGTGTGTAGAAGAGATGATAGGAAAGAGGTTTGGAACTCTGACGGAACCATGAGACTACGCTAAGACGACTCTGGAATCAGCAATTAGCAAATCCTAAGGGAATGAGGTCAGGGCCATAGGAAATGTGGACCAGGAGGATGGGGGAAGACAAGGGTAAATCGGACGGCTGGGGCATGTTTTAGGGGTGTGTGGTGAGTACAGGGTACTGGGAGATAGGAGGGATCTGGTACCTTATGATAGAGATACCAGTCAACATTGGATCGTTTAGTACTGATAGATGATAGGAATGGTAAGAGTGAGGGCAGTCAAGATCACTGAAGGAGGAGACGAAGAAAATGGGGAAACGTTGCTTTTCTGCAGGAATGGGCTCAGGGAACATAGTAAGAGGGGCAGGTTTATGGTGGCATAGATAATCAGGGTTAAACACTTTGGGAGAGCTGGGTTGTTAATTTTAGTTGTTCGAGGTTCTGGAATTGTGGGCTTTGTAGAACCCAGGGTGGGCTGTCGGTGGTTAGGGCAAAGGCTGATGATTGAAGAGGTCTATGAGGAATCCTGACACTGGAAGGTTACACTCATTGGGCCCTTTGGTTCTCATGGGATTTGTGGAGTTGTTGTAATGAAGTTTGCCAAGGTCAGTTAGGAAGCCATGCATGTGTATATATAAATTTTTACATGTAAAATTCTTTTTGGAGGAAATAGGGGTAGCACTTTTCTGTAGCCTTTTTCATTGGGAGTATTGAAATCTAAGACATCAGGTAGAATCGTTTGGTTTCAGTTGGACCCATAAAGCCCATTTGTACTACGGATTTTTTTCTTTGTTCAATCTCTTAATTGAATGAACACTTTCAATGTAGATATGCACCATATTTAAAACTGCAGTTTGTTTCCCTCAGCCTGAATAATGAAGAGCCCTCACAGCTACTGCTGCTGCTTCCTATAAAAGCCACATCAATTCCCCTCACCTCCTCAGCCTAGCCTCTGGTTGTCACCACCTACCTTGTTTTTGCTCTTATGGCAGTCGTTTGTTTTCAGAACCAGGGACTTATCAAGGCCTTCTGTCCTGCTCACTTACAATCTGAAGTTCCTTTTCTCCTTTCTGTCAGAGACTACAAGGGGCCCTTGTAGTGTGTGGCAGGGTGGATGCCTGTGGAAAATTGGTCAGTTTCACTTTCTCTGGGGAGGGGGTACTCTTCAGCCTGTCAGTTTTTATCAGAGGTCCTCAATTCTGCAGGTCTTAGCTGCAGAAGATAACAAGGTCCAAGGTTCCCCATGTTACCATCTACTCCAACCCTGAGGAGGAGTAGATGGAGTCAAGACTCTGGTGCATCTCCACCTTCTCACCTCCCAACCTCACAAAGTGTTTCCAATTTTGTTTACTGTTAGCCAAACCAAAATTATGTTTACAAACAACTCTAATTGTTGGAGCCTTGTTCCTTGTTTCAGAGTTTACTTTTGTGCCCCTGCCCCCCGAAAGCAATCACATTGCATTCCTGTGATTATTTTGCTCTGACCTTGGGGGATGGACTCCATGAACTTAATTGGTTGCCTGGTTTATGGTATATATGACTTAAAGAATTTTCCAATTTCCAGCCCGTGGATACACCAAAATATTGATAAAAACATTTGTGAATGTTTATCGAAATGTAATTGCGAACAGTTGGTTTTTGGCTTTATATATAAAAGACATTTCTGTCTTAAGTAGTCAGCAAAGCCAGTGGCTAATTATGGCTGGTCTGCCCATTTTCTAATTTTCCTATGTATGTGTGTTTCTTAGTTTTTCTCTGAGGCCTTGGTATCCTTTAGGATTGCAGCATTTTAAATATCGGCTTGCTTATAATCGGGTACCACTGTTTATGTTGGTTTTAACTTTGATCATTTGTGGTGTGGAGTTATGCAATTCTTATGTATGGAAATATTCAAAATCTTGAATGAGACTGAAATGGATGGCTTGGACAATGAGTTCAATGAGTTGCATGTGTAATGGGACCATACCAGCACTCATTTGTATTTCTGTAGCAGTGTACAATTTCCTAATTACAGTTACAAGCACCCTATCTTTTGCTGCTTAAATTACTCTGAGGACATGAGTGAAGCTTAATTCACAAGGAGTTGTCATGTGCTCTGAGTGAACGATGAGCATATTTTGGCCTGCCCCATGCTTAATCTGAATCCACTTTGGAAGGGTTTCTCAAATGCACTGCCTAGCTTAGATGTGCCTAACAGCTGTTGACCTACAGTATGGTGGCCTTATTTTTTTAATAAGGCCATGGCTTGGTTATATAATGGCTAGGAAGGTGCCTAGGTTACCAGCAATTGCAGAAGCTGATGCTTCAGTCATTCAGGTAGATTTTTCTTCCCATGCACTGCAGTGTTTATCTTACTTCTGCAATCAGGTCACTTGGAACCAAAGAGAGCTATTTTTTTTTTCCATCTCTTTTCAGAATGTATTATTTTTTTGTTATATCCTTTAAAGGTATATGATTTCATCTTTCTCCTTTTATCCCTACAGGACACTGAATGGTCTGGGTTTTTCTTATAACCATATATAACAGTCAGACTCAGGTAATTCAGATGATATTTGTGTTGGCTGAAGGAAGTTAGGTATTAGGTGTTTCTGAATATCAAAGAAATATTTATGATTACCCTTTCTTATATGTACTGCCCATTCCAAGGACTAAGAGGCTAAAGTAAACTTAATTTATTGACTAAGCTATTGCACTTCATCCAACAATAAGTGGTAAAACTGGCCCTTTCCCAGAATCCGTTAACTCTCAAACCTCCTAGACAAGGACCCTGGTATGAATAAAATCAGTAGAGAAAAGGAAATATTTTCACATTTGGTTGTTGGTGACTTTTGCAGCATGGCATTCATGAGCTCAGAGTTAATGTTGGCAGCACTGCAGTGCTTAGAGCATCACTGCAGAACAGTTAGCAGGAGAGAATATTCATCTCTGACATACCTTGGTCAGCTCTGTCTGTCTCTATCCTGCAATCTGTAATTGTTATTTTTTGGGCGGTGGGGTGGGGGGAGCCTTAGTCTGAGATTCTTTGGCTGTATTCTTTGGCAGGACACTATGAAGTATTAAAGCAATTAAAAAAAAAAAGGGTTTTCTGTTCTCAAATGCTTGTAGTCTGTTGCCTGTGCCTAATTATACTTTCACTGGTTGGATAGATAAGAACAAAGATGAGATAATATTTTGTATATATTTTTTTAAGTATACATGACTATAAAAGCCATTGTTTAAATAGTTTAAAAAATTTTTAAATTTATTGATTTTTAGAGAGAGGAAGGGGGAGAGAGAGAGAAAGAGAAAGAGAAAGAAAGAAACATTGAAGTGAGAGAGAACCCTCGATTGGTTGCCTCAGGTTCATGCCCCGACTGGGAATTGAACCTGCAACTTTTTGGTACACGGGATGATGTTCCAACTAACTGAGCCACCCAGCGAGGGTGGTCAGATACTTTTAAAGTGTATTTAACAGATATGGATCACTTGCCCATTACTAGCTTGTGGTAAGAGCTTGAGCTTTGGATAAGGCTGCTTGGGTTTGGGTCCTCTGCTGCTTAATAGCTGGGTGCTCTTGGGTAAATTATTTAACTTCTCTGTGTTTGGACTCTCTCATCTGTAAAGTGAGATGACAATAGTACTCCCCTCCACCCCCCAAGTTTGGGTATTATGGGGATTAAATAATATTATACACGTGAAGCTCTTTGAGCAGTACTTGGCACATAGTAGGCATATAGTTAGTGTTAACATTATCATCATCATCAGATGCTATAGTAACAAAGATGAATAAGACATAGTCTCCTTTTTTGACCTCTCACCCCTTTGGAACAGTTCATGAATGCATATGCCATTCATTTTGTGTAGGTAGATATCATTCTGATGATATGTTTCCAGGGTAAAAAAAAAAAAAAAAAGTTGTTTGTTATTATGTCAGGTGTCACTTTGAGAGAGTTGGGTTTAACTCCTGTGGTCTATGGGCTAATTTCATGAATTGGCATTTTAAAACATAATTTTCCATTAGTTAAACTTTTTAAATAGATATGAGACTTGTCTAATGAAAACTGTGACTAATGCTGGCTTTTATTTGGGCTGCTTTGAATATTCTATGTGTTTGTGTTACTACTCTTTGTCACATTGGAACAGAGTTTGAGTGCAGTCTTTTCTCCAGAGATTCACTTAAAGTTGGCTGAGAATGTGAAGAAATATTCTTACAAGACGTAAGAACACATTTGCATTTGGGTGCTGCTTAGAAGGCCAAGGTCAAGGTATTTCATAGAGAAAACATTTTGCTCTATGACCCCATTCCAAACATTGACCAGCCAGGACACATCTGTGAACTATGTGGTTTAGTGCAAACTCATTTACATAAGCAGAAAAACTCAGAGTCGCCCAATAGTATTATAATTACTTCTACTACTACTAAGGAAGATTTTAATAAAGTGGATGACATGATACTTGTGCTCATCAGAAGGCTGAAAACAAGATTCATTGGTAAATAGAAAAGAGAATTATGTTGAAAAGAAATTGAAAACAGATTTACATTACATTTGAGGGGTTAGTTCCACTCCTAGATAATACAGAAATGCCTATTGCAAGATGACTAACCTCATTTTGATACAAATGATACTTTGTGAAGAGTTAAGATTGAT